GCTCAACGGCTCATCGGTTGGTTCCTTTGCGGCTTCCTTGCAGTGTTTGTTATGGGCCAGGAGAGGCGATTATCTCTCGATGCCTAACTTGGCCCGCGAAATTGTGTCAAAAATTATGTTGTCGTGTGGCGGCAAATGGCCATTCAAGGCTCTTATCTCGTTCTTCCCTCGCAACTTAATTAAATTATTAACCCAAACGCTAGAGGGAGACGGAATGTGGGTTCTTAGTCATGTGGTTGTAGTATGTTATGGAATCACACTAAGAAAAAAAGCAAAAATCGTATTAAAAAAAAACCGGCTACGGCCATGATTTTCCAACCATTTTGTCTTGGCCCAGAGATAAAGAGAGAGGACGAGAGACCGAGATAGAAAGAGAAAGATATATCTCGGCCAAAACTATTTCGCTTCAAAACCGCTGAATTTCTGAATGGCAGCAACTTGAGATAAATTCGCCTCATGGCGAATTCGAGGTGAGTTTCTCCAGATTTCTCTGGGTCTCTCTTCGGCTCTCTGGGCTGGTATTTATGGAATGTGAGCGCTCAAAAATGCGTTAAAGGTGTTTATAAAATTAAAATTGTGCAAAACAAGTCGCTTAAACGCAGAGAGTGAGAGGCAAAATACTCTCCGGAGAAAAAAAGAGAATCTCTCTCTGAGAAAACCTAAGGATATCCCCTTATAAAAGGGCATCGCATCGGTGTTTAGAAAAATGTGAATTGAGCAAAGAGACAAAGAAAATTGGTGCACACTGAGCGCCGCATACGCAATCAAGGAAAGGTGGGTAAAAAGGTGGGAGGAGAATGGCAAGTTGGCGCGGCATTGGTGTAGAGGGGCGTACAGGCGGCTCCCTGCCACATGCACCCTCCGCCAACTAAAACCAGTTCAGTGTGAGTGCGTTTGTGCGAGTGTTTGTGCATTAGAGGAGCGACCACATAACTTGGCCAAATGGGCAGATCGTGTTCCCTTTGGGCCCCCTTCGATGCCTTCCTCCGCCGCCTCTGTACCACCCACCCCTGGAAACACAACGTCGTAATTGTGGGAGCTACCCGAAATAGAGATTTACGTAGATTAGTCAAACAATGCGAAATTACAACACCCAAGAAAACGCAGAGAAAAATATAAAAAGTTAAGCTACAACAGCAGAAGTAAAGTTTTTATTGGTAATCAAAAGATTTCCATTAATAAAAAATGGTTGTCTTGTTAATTAAATGCTTTAAAATAATAAAAACAAGGAATAAGAAATAATAAGAAAATATTTTTGATGAATAACGATTTTGCCTTATGACCAAGCAAATATTTTTATTTTTTAAAATCTTTTTTTAGGTACTTATTATCCGTGATGAATATATATATTCTTTAAATATTATGTAGTATTATTTTACAATTTTATTTTTTTTTATTTCGGTCTTCTTTCTCTGCAGCAGCAGTAACATCTAATTTCGGTGTTTAGACAGCTTCTACTCCGGACTTTTTCCAACTTGTTGGCAGTCCGAAGTTCCAGCTGCCAATCCGTTGGCTTTTGGGAAGGGGCCAAATGACTTAGGAATCTGCGAGTGCAGTTCCCACATTCCCTCACTCTCCCTTTCTGTCTTTCCCTCCCCCATGTAATTGCCTGTAATTTAGTGTGTAACTGCAATGGCAACAACAAATCTAAGATGACAACAACCACACGACGAGCAAATTATGTTGTCTTTTTCCAGTTCTTCCACTGCCAAAAGGAAACTCCAAGTTGGACGGAAGAGTGGGGGGTAACGGACTAGGGGGGCGGGTGCCGCATTTTTGTTTTATTTTGTTTTCCTTTCTTGTAATTTGCATAATGAGATTTTAATTTTTACGCTCGCATAATAATTTCAAATGGGGATAAGTAATTCCCCTTGCCACTCCCACTTGGACGCAAGTTTGTTGCCTAAGTCTTTTGTTTCATGGCCCGAATTAAAGTGTAATTTGGTTAGCCATTAGTTGGCCAGACGCGCGAGAGCCGACGACGGAGTCGGAATGGCGGCATTTGATCTCCTCTAATTAAATAGCATTTCCGCTTCTTCGGCTAGAAAATGATACAGCGGCAGTAAAGGCAAAAACAGCTGCCTGGAATGACCAAGAAGCAAAAGGTGTGGTGCTTGAAAAGGTGATGGTAACAATGAGGAAAAAGGTTCATCACTAGCCAAAAAGATAAAGGAATTTTTAAAGTTATATCTAAAAGATTTTAGATTTGAACACTATATTTTTGGGGCAACTCCGATCAAAATGGACAATGACATTAAAATAACTTCCAGGAACTTTAAAATATAAAATACTTTCAATAACTTTTTGCTTGGATCATCGAAGGTGAAAACTCACAATCCCTCAAAAAGTTATTTCAAATTAGAGACCCTCTCCTTTCTTCTCCCGATTCCACACAGTTTCTCCCTCAATTATCTTGGATAATTGCGAATTCCTTTAGATGGCTGCAGCACCGTGATCCGATTCATTCGGGCCAAAGCAATAATGAGCAGCTTGCGAAGTATTTTGGATTCTCACTAAGAGCGAGTGACAGTTATGCCAAAAAGTGCTCTCTTTCAGCCTTCGGGGACTCGGAAACTTTGTACAACTATTTGTGGACGTTGCTTTTTTAGAATTATTTCTTTTTCGGACAGCAAACTCTTCAGACATTTGTGATTCGTATGTGATTCTTTCAACAACTTTTTTTGTTGATCGGTTTTAATTTTCTTTAGGTGCGGGCCATAAAAAAGTTTTCTGGAGGTTTGGCCCTTTGGCCAGAGCTTCTTATTTCAGTATTTTTTCTGATTTATTTTTTTTTTTTTTCATATACGAAACTCCGATTTTGCGTTTTTTTCGAGTTTGGGATCGGTTTTTGGGTCTTTTATTGTCTTCACGACCACAGATTGGCTTCAATATGCGGCCGAATAACAAGAAAAGCAGGGGTTTGCGGGCAACCGAATTTTGTTTTTAGGGCCTCGTCTTCGGACTCATTTTATGATTATTGAGCCCCAAATCGCAGCAGATACTGAAAAATCTCTTAGTATGGATGGTTATCCATCTCTTTCTCAATTCTTTAGATTGCCGAGTTCAGACCTCATCATTTAAGTTTCGGTTTCTGTTATTTTATTTTTGCGTGAGCCAATTATGCGTTTTGTATTTCGTATTTGGTTCGTTTGTGGTTAATTTTCGGGGAGTATCAGCGTCAGCAAATCTGCTTTTCTTCCATTGTAATTAAGGAAACGTGACTTTTTGTCAGATTCCATCAAATCTCTTCGTTGTCGAGAATTGGCGTTGTTATTCCAACTTATTGTTGTTTCGTTTCTCTGGCCCGGTGTCCGTCTCACGTTGTTGTACTTTTAATGAGATTTGATTCGATTTGATTTGCCTTGATTTGCGGAAATCATCTAAGCCAAAGGGCGAAGGGAAGATCTGCGTAATTAAGCTATAATTAGCCATTAACTTGGAGGGTCCATGCAAAAGTTAAGTTAAGTGACATTCCAAGCAGATTTAGGCAAGTAAAAATGTCGTAAGAGAAAGCTTGATTTTTATTACATTGACTAGATCTTAGATGAATCAGAAAAAATAACTTTAGAAGGTGCAGGGGATTTTATATTTTCAATCAAAAGTTAAACCGCAGTGAAGTGCACATTTCCGACTGTAAGCTTACTGACAACTTTTTTATATTCTACTTTTCTGAATTCTTTCCTTATTTTCAGTTGAAATACAAGCCTTTAAAATCCTTATTTCCCAACTAAGCCTTACATATTTTTCGTTGGTAAAGAAAAATGTTTAAAGCTTATAACAATCTTTATCACTTCGTATTATTTAAAGAATGATCTGAAAGGATAGTACCACGTATCAATTGAAGCCTAGACTAGTGTTTTATTCTTCGGTGTGTGTTTTTGTAAGTTTTTTTTGTAAACATTGCGCTGAGTTGTAACTCGTGTTGCTGTTAAATTGCTGGGAAGTTTGGAATCGCGGCTACATTTTCAGTCAGTCGGTCGAGGGCTTTTTTCCACCGTTTCGTTGTCGGTTTGTTTTTTTCTTGTTTTTTTTTGAGAGACAAGAGAGGTCACATTTGATAGTCTGAACAAAAATCTTGTCGACGTCTCTAGACGCTCTTGTACATATATCAATGTGTTTAGAGCCACGGAAGAATGGGTGATAGCCGCCGCAGAGAAAAGAGCGAACAAAATGCCTTCGTTAAGCGCTGGAAACGGTTTTAGGCCTTGTCTCTCTGTTGTTGATGTTTTTTTCCAACTTTTTTCCCTATTTTTCGGCTGCCCATTTTGTTTTTGTGAGCGAAGAAAAATGTTATAAAAATGTAATTACCCGATGATGAATGGATTAACTACAAAAGAGTGAGAAGCCTGCATTGCTCAGGGTGCGGATGAGGATGGTAGTGGAGGGGTGGTATGAACGGGAACTGTTTGAAATACTTTTAGATTGCCACACAATGTTGGGGATACCCTCACCGAACTATTTTTTCCCCATGCAAACAACAGACGTATATTAGAAGTACACCCACCTAATAAAAGTATTTTCTGCCCAATTTCATGAAAGTATAGTATTTATTGAGTAATATGAATGATAAATTGCCTTTATTATTTTATTCTATATACTGATCACAACCCATTTCTTTTTGCGTTACCAACTTCCTCATAATTCCTACATACCCTTCCAAACCCAATTGTAACCCATGCATGGCATGCACCGCATCCATCTAACTCCCCTTCCCCTCACGATTCCCTACGGATGTCGATGTCGATGTTTAGGCCCGATGTCTGATGTCTTATGTCCAACGTCCGATGTCTGATGTCCGACTGACTGATCTGACTGGGAGCGGGTAATTGATGCATGAGATTAGTTTTGGGGCCCAAGTACGTGGAAAATCCATAAGCGACGCTCGTTGTGTGGATTCGAGGCAGTTGGTGAGACAAACGTTTTAATGACCCACCAGGAAAGTGGGTCACCAATGGAAAAACGGGAGTTGGAAGTGAAATAATAGTGAACCAATGACTCACCTTAAGAATGCACCTGCCCACGGGTTCGTTTTCAGCGACAGAAACATTGTAGAAGCTCTGGTCGAAGATCGGTTCGTTGTCATTTACATCGTGGATCGTTACCAACACGGTGGCGGATGAGGAAAGGGGCGGTACTCCGCTGTCCCTGGCGATAACCGTTAGCTGCGGCACCGGTTCCGTTTCGCAATCGATATGCGATCGGGTGGTGATCAGGCCCGTTTGTGGGTCAATCTGAAACCACTGGGCATGGGTCTCAGGTGTCTCGGCCAGGGAGTAACTCAAAGCCGAGTTCAGACCTTCATCTCGATCGTGGGCCAGAACTTGGAGAACCGAAGTACCCGGATCGGCCACTTCCATCACATTAGCGTGATAAAGATCCTGCTCGAACTCCGGTGGATTATCATTAACATCGGTAATTCTCAGGAAAATTGACTTGGAGGCGTGCAAAGGCGGCGTTCCCTTGTCGGTGGCTACAACACTGACTGTATAGTTGGAAACCATCTCCCTATCCAGCGGTAGATTGACTATCACCAAATAAATACTGTTGTCCCTGGTGGTCAGGGCAAAGTGCCCATCTCCGCCATTTAGAGTCACATTGACATTAGCATACTCCGTTTTCGAATCGGGATCATGCACCGAAATCCTGGCTACGAACTCGCCCGGTTGAGCAGACTCCGATATCTTAGGGGATGCATCATCACTTAGAAAAATCACGTTTATAGTAGGTTGGTTGTCATTCACATCAGTGACTCTTATGGAAACAAAGGCTGTCGTCTCCAGAGGCTGTTCGCCGTGATCTTTGGCCACCACCACAAGTTCATGCAGCTCTTTAGTTTCAAAATCCAAAGCTTTGTTGATGTAAATAGCTCCTGTTCTGGGATCTATGCGAAACATTTGCTCCTTATCGCTCTGTCTTCTATTGATCGCATACTCCACCAATCCATTCTCATCGGCATCCGTGTCAGATGCATAAACCTGAAGGACACTCGTACCCACAGTGGCATTTTCTGGAACCGTGGCAAAGTATCTGCTTTGATTGAAGATCGGTTGATTGTCATTCACATCTTGAATGGTTATATTGACAGTCATGAATCCCCGCAAAGGGGGACTTCCACCATCTAGTGCTTCAATGAGAAGGCTATAACCAGGTGTGGTTTCCCTATCCAAAAAACCACTGATCTGCAGGTCCAAGTACAGGACACCGTCTCTTTCCCTGTGAGATGATAGCCTAAAGGCGTCATTTACATTTCCAGATACGATATTATATCTCTGGGTGTTATAGGGCTCCAGGTCCAGATCCCTAGCTGGTAGCAAAGTTCTCTTAACCTCCCTGGGCGTATTCTCCGGAAATTCAATGTGCATCGAGGGTTGTGGAAACGTGGGTGCATTATCATTCTCATCTTTGACCGTGACCACCACTCGAATGTTACGTCCGCTTAGGGGAATGGCCACCAGACTATATGAAGCTCGAGTTTCTCTGTCCAATTTCACTTTGGTACGGATCTCCCCTGTGGCCCGATCTATAGCCAGATCCGTTTCCACTCCCGCCTCTGCCACGATGATATATGGCGGACCACCGTCGATTCCATCGAAGTCTCCTATATAACCGATCTGATAATCCACCGAAACGCCTTCGAAGACCTCCAGCTTCCGCTCCCTCTCCTTATCATTGGAGGCAGCTTGGCAAGGTCCCAAGAGTAAGATCACTAGAAGCCACAGCAAGCTTCTGCTCAGCATGTGCGAGGGATGTAGGGCGGGTGGCGAAGATATCGATTTGATGTTGAAACGTCTCCGGCATCGATGGAACATTGTGAAGTCCTTCGGCTGTTGGCTCCCCGTGGTTGTCCTCGTCGTTACTACCGAATCCATTTCACTTTCGGTGAATTTTTTGGAGAACGCTAAAAGGAGCTAAGAACGTCCTTGACTGAGATTACCTCCTTCCAGCATGGCCATGGCACATCTAAAAGAGAAAAGAGTAAAGAATGTCATGAAATATACAAGATTATGTATTTTAAAATCGTTGCTAATACTTCAAAAAAGGAAACTAAATTTTATTCATTTCAAATTTCCAGAGCGGGGATCTTTTAGGTCTAAAATTAATTCTAAAATTTAACACCCAATAATACAACATTTTGTGGCAGTGCAATAGTGACAAATGTGCTGACCATAATCCACCGCCCACACTACAAGCTGCGCGCCTAGAATAAAAAGCAACTTTGAGAACCCCCAAGAGAAGAACACATAGTTGCAGCTAATAGACTGATAACTGCGCCAATGCGCTTAGCTCCGCCTGATGACTGCTATGATGATGATGGTGAGGATGGAGAGGCTTACGCATGGTGGAGGCATTTTCATTTGGCCATTTGAGGGAATTTGAAATGCTAATAGACGGCCAAGAAAGATCAGGAATGAAGACAAAAGACCCGAGACGCGGACGATGCCGATTCTACCTGCGTGCGAACGGTTCAAAGGCTAAAAGGGTCTCGGGTCTGCTTTTGGGCCTCTGTTATACTGGTTTTGGTTTTTGGTTTGGTTTTGGGCTCTCGATGAAATATGGCTGACACACATACACACACATTCCGAGAGAAATCGAACAAACAATTCCTCTGCCAAAGTTGCCATTGCTGGATGACCAAACTCTGGACTCAGAACTAATGCCATGTGGCTGGAATTGGAATCGAAATGGGAATGCTTCGAGGTCCGAGCAATTCGTGGCGAACATTTTAGTTAACAAGACCATGACTAACACTTTTTTTGAGTGGCCAAAACAACATTTGTTTCCACTGCAATTTGGAAAGATGTTTCTCGCGCGATAAGCGAAAATAAGAAAAGAAAATGGGAGGGCGCGCAGGCGAACAATATAAAAAATTATGATTATTATTTTGGGAATGCCTTTGAAATTTCATTTCGTGAGCAGATAAAGATCTTACAACTGCTAACTCTTGAGAACACGGCCCAGATGATCCTGTTCGATCATGGCCAGCAATTAAAACGGAATTAATGAGTCTTGGGAAACGAAGAGATCAAACTTGGCGTTAGAAGACTGACGGATTCTTCCCCTTCAAATGATTGACACACAACCATCACCCCGAGAGTAAAGAGCGATTTCTGCGGAGAAATTAGCCAGCCGGCCAAGCCTTTCATGTCCATCGAGAGATGCCGGTACCATTAGGCCTCTAATAACTTTATAATGATCATGTCCCTTCCTTCCCTGACATGAGGCGTAATTTAATAAACTGCAACGGGGCTTCCATCAAGAAGGCCGAGGAGTACGTTACGTTAGACCTGAACTCTGTGATACGCAAATTACCCCAGGAAAATGCGGTGTGGAGAGTGAGCTGCCGTTGCGGAAACGTCAGTTTGATTTGCACTTGTCATAAGTTTAGATGAACTGCTAATACCCGAACACATTAGAAAGCCCGTGGAGTGGATCCCGATTCCCAAACCCCAAGCCCCATTCCCGTTTGTGATCCCTGGCGTTCCAAGTTGGACAGCTCCCGTCCAGATCCGCAGATCTTGGATCGTAGAGCAGTCCGATTTGAGTGCCAGCTGGCGGTCGGTCGCCTTGCGTGTGGCTGCACCTGAGACCTGAGATCCGTTGGAAATGGCCGAGCGGACGAGGAATGAGGGCTGTGGGAATGACCGGTGGATGGAGCAAAACGGGAGATTACACTCGAGAAAAGAGTTTCACCCAAAGACGTTAATATGTTAGTCCATAGGGATAGTTTTTCTTCCAAAAATGAAATCAAAGCCACTGAAAAGCTAATTGATTCTAAACTAAATTTGTTTCGAGTCTCGGAAACTCAGTGACCCTAAAATCTATCGATTTTTCGGTGTCTCATTGGCATTTGTAGAACAATAAAACAATTTTATGTTTGTCAAAATTATTAACCATTTTTCTTTTGTCATCAAACTACCTCAGACAACAGTATTAAAATTTGAAACCGAGTTAATGTTAAGTTTTATCTGCAATATTTCTTTCTGTGGGCTAATGAAAGAGTGTATGTAGCAGAGTGAGTGTCTTGGGGTTCTGTGCACTCTGGCGGCATCTAATATCAAATGACAAAGTTGTAATTATATTTGTGGTTTCAGTTCTTTACTAGAGTTCCAGGGAGTTCCAAACAATTTCACGTTCCCAACCCAGGTTTCGGCCATTAAAAATTATGCTTTTTCCCGAGAGAATTTCGTTTTCTTGTTTCATTTTTTTTTTGCTTTTACGAGCGCACAAAAGCTCGTAAAACCGTTCCAACAAAAACAAAAAGGAATACAGAAAAATCAGAGTCGAAAACAGAGCGGCATCAATAAAATCTAGTTAATAGCAAATAAAGGCAACAACAAATACCCATAACCCTGGAGAGCGGTATGGAGCGGTATAAAACGTACACAATCATAACAATAACAGCGTAAACTTTACAGCCCAACTAATTAGACTGGCGAATAAGAAAGAAAAAAAGGTGATGGAGGAACGAAAAGGAGCACTTCAAATCCAAGGATTTTTGAACCAAGAACTACTGTAAGCGCAAATAGAGATTTTAATTAAATATTTACTATTTAAGACCGGTCATTCTTTTTTGATGCTTGTTTATTTACCTGCCTTAAAGTATTTTATATATAGATACTTTTGTTACTCGTTATTAAAGTCTATATAAAGATCTCTTATATGCGATTCTTAATTGTTGAACACATTTCATCTTGTTGCGATTGCAATTCTAATTTATCTTGTATTGCATTTTTTCGCAACTTAAGTATTCCTATATTTATTTTCGCTGCTGAGAGGCAAATAGTATGCTCCAATTTTGAGGCCGAATGGAGTCTTTGAGCCAAAGAACAAAAACCGGCAATCCAATCGGAGTCCAAACTGTTGAAAAGTTTTGCATAGCGTCAGAGAAAAGAAGTACAATCGGTAGCCGGAAGAAGTGTTTTGCCAACGCTTAATCACTGACCAAACAAAAGGCAACTAAAACAAAAATAAAAGTTTTTTTTAAACTTCATTAACATGCACATTACACATGTAGGAGAGATTTTCTACTCGAACAATTAAAAAGAGTCGAAGAAGAAAATCAACTTGTTTGGCTTAATCTTGTTGTTGCTGCGGTTCCGCTCGTGATTTAACTGCAAATTATGCAAAATTGTTGTCTAAAACCAGAGGCTAAGTAGGTGGTAAGTAGACGCTTTAGAGCGTGTTTAATTAAATGTTGAGTAATTTATGAAAAAAGACGAGGGGGGCGGAGAGTCGGTATAGGTTGATACGGCCGGTCTACCAGCTAATAAGTTATTTCTAATGACTTTCTAATTGTCCGACACACACGAGACGGCAGGCTATAAACAGCGAAACTTTAATTGTCCGCATATTAATCGAACTCATTTAGATGCAAATCTGAAAGATCCGACTGGCCAGATCCGAAGTCTCCGAGAGATTCGAGGCCAACCAAGCGTGGATCACGTCAGAGATTCAAAGCTGCGAAAGCGTGAAGTAAACACGAGTGTTTTTCTGCTAGGAAAAGTGCGAAAATGCAAGTGAAACCGAGTTGCAAACAAGGATTTTCGTTTTCATTTTGATTATGGTTTCCATTTCGATTTTACTTTGTGTGTTTTCATTTCCCTTTTAAAAAGCCCTTTGTCAGTTTACATAAAGCAAGTTTGACACTTTTTAATTGCCAGTGGGGAGAATTCCCGATGCTGTCGAAGAATCGCATAATGAGCGCTAATTAGTGGCAAGTGTCAGGAAAAAAAGAGCGACCAAGATGAAATGTTTTGGTTTATATCTTATCGCAGCCACGACAGCGGCAACATCTACCAGTTGTAGACGGCAGTTGCCTCTTTTAAATGTACAAGGTTTTGCATCGCAATAAGGGAATACGCTCAAAAGAAAAAAATCAGATTCTGCTTAAAACGAATAACATATTTTGAATTAAAATAAAACGAAAAACATTTGTAGAAGATTAACTTGAAGGCTACATTTAGAAGTATGATTTATTTATAATATGAATAGAAATAATTAGAAACCCTGTCTACCTTTGAGGTGCAATTTGAAGTGCACTTCAATCATAAATCTGGCAGCTGGGGTTTACTCTTCCAGTGGCATCTAACTTAACCGTGGGCAGCGCATCTCCGCAATCATTATGGAATACTAAAATATTTACACCGGAAGTCTGTTCATGGCATCATCTTCTCGCTGGCTCAGATTCCAAGTTTTGTTTGGGTAGCCGAAAGCATTTAGCAATAATTGTCATGGCAGAGTGAGTTTTTGGCCATTGTTTGGCGCCTTTTATGACCACCATTAGGGTATAAAGCCAAGACTCAGCCCCTAATGCTAATCGCCGATCTCGTGTTAAAAAGCGGTTCATTAACCCATGGCAGCACCCGCCTCTCGCTATAAAACACAAATATTTCTCAATCAGAATCCGATTTCGATAGGCAGCAAAATGTATAACATTCCGTTCCCCCTTATCTACAGTCGTATTATTCTGGTTCTATGACCAGTAAAACAAATCAAATTATGTAGGCAACATGTTTATGTGTCTGAAAAACAAGTGTGAATATTTAAAACAAATACTCTTTTCTTTGTACTGGATAAAAAGTATAAATTGTTAATATAATATTTAGAATACTTTATATCTATTTTAAAGTTTTGTAATTTTTTAATATTAAACCTTTAATTTAATTGTACAAAATAACTTCGTTTAGTCTGATACACCTTTTTAGAGTATACATCTGATTTAAAAGCTGATAATTCTATTTCTGGACCTTTTGTTTTATTTTCTGATTGATCAGATTCAGAACAGTCCCAATATCATTTCGATTTAATGATGTTTACCCGTGCAATATCAGGCCGGCACATGTGGCCATTAAACGGCATCGAACGTTAGATTGGTCAGTGCAAGATGCTCGAATTAAGATGGTTTATTGTGGTAGCAAATATTTATGCCCACCTGGCACGAGATGCGAGTCGAAACTACAACCTGTTCCATTATTTTCCCAGCGAGAGAAGTGTCTTCATCCAGCGATGGACGATGAACATATTCGCCGACTAATCACAGGCCAAGTCACATTCGAATGTCCGCGGTGCCAACTCGCATGAGGCTCAACAAAGAAATTAGCGCGAGGAAATTCCCCTTGCCCCCTTTAAGAAGCGGGTGTTGGTGCTTGCAGCAGGTGCGTGTGCTCCCATACAGTAAGAAAAATATATGATATCGTGAGGTTTTGGATGAGAATATTAATTTGTATCCGAATTATAAGAATCATTTAATAATACCAAAAACTGATACTAAGACTTTAACTGGAGCTAATGTTAAATGTAAATGTTTAACGGCTATATGGCTTATTCACATCCAAATCGAAATTAACAATGTAAAATGGCCATCTGCTTTTTTTTCAGTGCAGACCACGGCCATGTCTAATGTTATTTTCCCGGTACATCGGGCTAGATGTGTGTGGTCCGCTCTGATGGGTTTTCCTCCGCACACACGCGAAAATAGATTAAAGCGTAATCTTTGTTTGTACAGCGCTAAGCATTGCGGCAATTAGTGGGGAAAAAGGGGGAAAGCCGGTGGAGACTGGAGCAATTTAAAGCGCATTAAACTGCGTTTTGCAAGTTTGTGTCCTCAATCTTTCGTTTGTGCGCCCGCACCTTTACACGAACACCTGCCGCCTAGAGATAAAACGAAGAAAAACCTACAGTGCATACCCGTTAGGTCTGATAAAGCAAATATTTAGAAAAGGCGGGGTTGGGAACAAGCACTGAAAATGGGAAATGAAAATTATATTTTATTCTGTTCTCCCTTCTCTCGGCTCAACTTTGAACTCAGCGGTCTTTTGTTTTCTTGTTCGGGTTTTCAGGCCAACTTAAAAGGAAGTGTAAATTAAGGGCCATAAAAACTAGGCCCTAATGTTCCGACTGCTCTGGCTTTTAGCAGCATGAAAATTGAATAAGGGCCCCCGTTCGAGAATTTCTTAATAATTTAACAACACACAGAACTTTAATTGTAATGCCATTAAAAACCCGAGCACGCCTTGAACTTCCTCCAATCAAATTTTCAGTTATAAAATATTGGAATGTCGTTCCTGAGAATACAAAACAAAAAAAAAGAGGAATTTTGTAGAACTTATATGGAAAAATATATTTAGATCAAAATAAATATGTTGCAATTATATAATTTAATTCGTTATTAGTATATTGTAAGAAACAGATTTTTCTGCAAAGACTGTACACGGTAATTACATTCTAACATCTCAGATCTCATTAATTAAAGATAGTTTATTTACTCCAAATGCCCTTCAAATTTTTTCTGTGTAATATTTGGTATTGTCATAGCTGTGTGCATTTTGTTTGGAGTTTTTTTTCCAGGAATCACAGTTAAGCGACACTTTGCGCACATTTCCATTCCCTTCACGTGTCGCTCCGTATCGACAGAGATTAGAGATCGATCGAGCCTCAATCGTCGTCGTTGGACGACGTGTAAAACAGGTAGAAGAAAAATCCCAACCACACCAACGCCAAGAACACCGACTCTATTTGTTTTTCCACATTTTCCTTGGGAGCGAACAACAAAAAAAAGAGGCGAAGATGGAAAAGAGGAAAACTCGAACAGTGGTTGAAGAAATGGAATACAAAGTGGAAGACGACTAGAAACGAGAGGCAGAAACAGACAGAAATAGATAGAAATACAAGCACCCAAGAGGAGGCGGTTCACGGAGTGTAGAATGTGTGTTTTCCTCCTCTTAAACCTCTTTCTCGGCTCCATCGCTTTCGATTACCAATTTGACTATTTCAAGTTGTTTTCGCTCCTGTTTCCCTAGCACAAAAAGAAAGAAAAATATCTAATTAGGCCCGGCCCAATCTACGCCTTTCTGAATTCTGGGTGTTTACTTTAGTTTTTGGGCTCTTGTATCTTTTATTTTTAGCTCCCAAAAGCGGTACTAAATTTTCTACCTAAGCAATTAGATGCTTTTTATTTTATACTTTGCTAAAAATGTTGGCTTAATTTTTTGAAGCTTTTTATACCCTTGCAGAGGGTATTATAATTTTGGTCAAAAGTGTGCAACGCAGTGAAGGAGACATCTCCGACCCTATAAAGTATATATATTCTTGATCAGGATCACCTCCTGAGTTGATATAGCCATGTCCGTCTGTCCGTCTGTCCGTCTGTCCGTCTGTCCGTCTGTCCGTCTGTCCGTCTGTCTGTCCGTCTGTCTGTTTCTACGCGAACTAGTCTCTCAGTTTTGAAGATATCGAATTGAAACTTTGCACACACCCTTCTTTCCTTTGCACGCAGTATATAAGTCGGAACGGCCGGGATCGGCCGACTATATCCTATAGCTGCCATATAACTGAACGATCGGAAATGCCATAACTTTGGTGTTTGTAAAGTTAGGAAGTTGGCATTTTCTATGGGTGTTATATTTGGCCAGCCAATCCGACCTACCAAATTTCATAAGGATCGGCCGACTATATCCTATAGCTGCCATATAACTGAACGATTGGAAATGTCATAACTTTGGTGTTTTTAAAGTTAGGAAGTTGGGATTTTTTATGAGTATTAAGAATGCATCATATGAATAATTTTGGAGAATATAATTTACAGAGTATTCTGCAAGGGTATATCAACTTCGGCTCCGCCCGAAGTTAGCTTTCCTTTCTTGTTATTTACTCTAAGACGACTTTTCTCAAACACATACCACTTAAAAATAATGGTAGCACATGTATGCTTACAAAATTTTTAAAAAAGTCTGCTGCCTTCATACAATTAGACAATTTATATAATAATAAAAATTGGGAAAAGCAAATCATTCAATTGAAAATTAAATTAACTGACTTGATATTCCTTATTGGAAATACCATATTAATATATTTCAAAGATTTTTGTTCTTATTATACTTGGCTTTAAATTTAGTGTCTTCTTAGTGCTTATACAAAATTTGCCATACTTCAATCTTCGCGAATTTATTTTTAGGAATGGTTTATAATTTCTCTTTAAATTATTAGTGTTTGTTCACAATGTCCTCTTTAAGTGTTGGCTTATTTTGGGTGGTACTTTTCATCTTTTTTTCTTACATTTTGTGGCCTCTTCTTTGCTGTGGTGCTGCTGTTTTTAAGCCGCTGAAATGCTACGGCTGTTGCCAATATTTTTCACCAAAGGCGCAAACGGCAGCAACAAAAACAACAAGTCGAAAACCCGCTGCCACAAACACAATGTTGTTGTATCTTTAGCCACACGGCCGAAGCGAGCCAAAAAGAACTCGTTTGACTTGTTGAACAATATTTCTTTTCGCCTTTTACTCTGTGTATTTGTTGTGCTGCTGCTGTGTTTTGTTTGTGTATTCGCTGTTGAATTTTCTTGACTGCCTTTTTGAAACACACTCTTGCTTTTTGTGATAATTCTAGGCAATTGAAATATTATTGGACATCAAAACTTATCACCAAACTTTTCTCACACGCGGCGAAAAGCAGCAGCGACGGCGTCAAAAAACGGTGACGAAAACAAAAATAAAAACGCGGCGATCGAAGATTTTCAGGGGCTTTAATGATTTATTATTTCTTCAACTTTTTGTCTGCACTGCACTTGGGAAATATTTTGCACTATCTTTCGTATATATTTTATTATATTAATAAATATTATGGCCGTATTTTTGTATCTCGAATTCCGACGGCGACACGAGGAGAACGCGACTTAGAAACGAATTTCCTCCGCTCGCTGCGATTCTCCAATGTGACTGCGACGAAAACACACGACAAACTGGCGAGAGCCGAAGACCGGAGACTGGAGCCGGGCTCTCTCTTTCTTCAGGATGCCCGGAAACCCACCTCGAAACCCACCTGTGGTCAAGAGATCGCTGTAATGAAGATGGCGAGCCCCGAAGAATCGCTGAGAGGTGAATAGTTTCTCCCCAGAGTGGTTTGGTCGGTTTTTCGGAGAGACTTGGAGAAGAATTTCAAAAGGGGCACACACAATACACAAAATAAAATCGACGACAGGTCCACAATTAGCCAAGAAAGAGAGCTATCTATATATTCTCTCGCTTCCAGAGAGGGTCTACCATAACTACCCATTGTTTTTGTGGCAAGTCCAGGCTCTCCTGGCATGTAAATTAGCTGCTCTCTCTCTCACCTGAGCATTAAAACCGGTTAGTAGTCATGCTCACCTGTGTGCCAAGTTGTTGTTGCCGAGTGCAGTTAAAGTGGTGGCTCTACACAGAAAGAAAAACCGATATTTAATTGATATAAATCAATTTATTTGTATGAGATGTCCTTAAACAAATAAGGTTATAAACGGGGCGTAAATAAAAAAATTCGTAGCAGTAAAGAAAAAACACCCAATGATGGGATGCTGCGATATTCAAGCCAGGTCCTTTCAACGGCTTATATCGGCTTGTTAGCTTTTAAAAGCGAGTTATTTTTCCTGTGTACAACAGAGTGTGCAGAGGGGATAAAGGGGATGCCGGGGGTAAAGTGCGGCGTTGAGTGTTTGGTATGCAGCCCCGCTGCCCCGCCCCTTCCGCTGCCCCATCCTCCGCCTCCTGCTCCTGGTTCTTCCCATTGTTTTTTGTTTTTCGGGGGCCTCGAATTTAGGAAGGAGCAACAAAGTTGCGTCAACAACCAGACAATGCAAATGTTGCGTAAGTTGTAACAAACAAAAAAGCAAAAGAGGGCTGAACACTGAATTACGGGGACTGCCCTATCGATAATGGCTATTTCAACCCAAAATAAAAACCAAAACACAGATTTTAAGAGAATTCAACCACAATCATTTAGAAGTATGCCTTTTTGAAATCGGATGTCTGTAAGAAAAGTTATGGGCTTAGAAGTGCAGGTTTTAGGTCACTTTTCTGCAAAGCCATTTTTCGAAAATTTGGAAAGGAAACACTGTAAAAATGAAGAAAAATCGACCCAAAATTACAAACCAAACTGAGTATACAGTTTTTTAGAGAATTAAACCACAATCATTTAGAAGTATGCCTTTTTGAAATCGGATGACTGTAAGAAAAGTTATGGGCTCAGAAGTGCAGGTTTTAGGTCACTTTTCTGCAAAGCCATTTTTCGTAAATTTGGAAAGGGGTAACACTGTAAAAATGACGAAAAATCGACCCCAAAATACAAACCAAGTTGAGAACAAAGATTTTTAGAGAATTAAACCACAATCATTTATAAGTATGCCTTTTTGAAATCGGATGACTGTAAGAAAAGTTATGGGCTTAGAAGTGCAAGATTTGGGTCACTTTTCTGCAAAGCCATTCTTCGTAAATTTGGAAAGGGGTAGCACTATAAAAATGACGAAAAATCGACCCAAAATTGCAAACCAAGATGAGTATACCGATTTTTAGGGGATTTAACCACAATCATTTTAAAGTATGCCATTTTGAAATCGGATGTCTATAACAAAAGTTATGGGGAAGAAGTATCGTTTTTGGACACTTTTCTGCAAAGCCATTTTTCGAAAAATGGACCCCAAAATACAAACCAAGTTGAAAACACAGATTTTTAGAGAATTAAGACACAATCATTTAAAAGTATGACTTTTGGAAATCGGTTGTATGTAAGAAAAGTTATGGGCTGAGAAGTTTTTAGAAGGTTTTAGGCAGTACGCTTTCTGGCTTTTAATCGCGGTTGCCAATCAATACTTGCATTTGTAGATCTAGAGTACTAAATACTTTTGCCATTCGTTTACTTACGAAGCATGGAAAATTTGGCGCCTCGAGTAAAAGTTGCTACAGCAACATCAACAAAAATTCCGACCCGCTTTTTGGGGTGGGACCACCGTAGAGATGCCATTGAGCAGATTCCGATTCCGTTCCCAATTCCGCAGAACTCTCGAGCAATCGCAAATGCTGCAATTTGTCTGGGAAACGTACACGAAAAGTGCGTGCCGCATCCCAAGAACCAACATGGCAGCGAAGTTGTGGCAACAGTTGTTGCTTGTTGCACTGAGGTGGCTCAATGAGCAAGTGGGAATGGAATCGCCCTGGTAGACCACGCCAGTTGCGGGAGGTTTACCGACAATGGCCAATGGTTAACCATTTGGTCATTCGCCGCTTGTCAAAACCGTAAATGACGTCGCTTATCTGTCGGCTTGCATTTGCCACTTTTCAAATGAAATGAGTTAACAGCAACAACATGAGAGCAACAACAATCTTGACAGTCACTTGAAAAGCAGAGAGAGTTATGTCTGGTTGCACAAAAAGAAAAAATATTTTTTAAAAAGTATATTTAACTTTAATATAGTGGGCATAAACTTGTTTAGATAATGAGATAAAAAATAAAATAATAAATCAAAGCATAGCTTATGAATTAGGCATTCTTGGTTTGGTATAATAGTTTGATTTATTGTTAACGAATTTGTCTCCATCAGCAATAGTTTATTGCTGAAATGGAAAAAAGGTAAATATAATAAATAATTTATTAGCTTTAATTACTTGTGGTCTAAATATTTTTGGGGTAATATAAAATATTTTCAAAATATCCAATTCTCAATACATAGAAACTACTTTTTTTTTTGGTGTACATACAAAATGATCCGAGATCTCAGTTAGAGCGGATAAAGCTGGGCATTGCAGCCACCCACACGCAGACCTAGATCAGAGGCGTACTTGCTGTGGCAGAGGGGGTGGATTTAGAGGGGTCTGAAAAAGAGGGATTCACTGCCCGCCCGCTGCTTGCAAATCACTTAATGGCAACGACACAATTGCGGCTTGAGTTGATGGATTTATGGATAGAATCCGATGGATGGACGGATCGATATGGTGGATAATTTGCAGCAGCCATTGAAATTCGGCACTCCGGCGTAGAGATTGGATAAGCAGATCAGATCAATCGATCAGCGGGCATCTCCAGCTGCTTCCTGCTTTGTCAACATTTTGAGGCCCAGAACAACGTACAGCATTTCAGCTTTCAGCGATCAGCGATCGACGTTCAACATCGGGGTTGTTGCTGCAAAGCCCACACACAAAACGACAAAACGAAGCGAATCGGAATCCATCATGCGAGTAATATGCAAAGTTACATAGCTGCAACATCCTAGCCGGCAAAAATATGGAGGAAGAGGACTGGGCTGGGCCATTCATTCGCCTTAAAATCAATAGCAACGTTGTCGTTGTTGTAGCCGCTTTTTCTGCTGTTGTTGTCGTCATCATCCTTGGAATCGTCATCATCAACAACTGCAAACAACATTCGCCTGTCAGCGGCAACATCATAAATTGTTGTTTAGCCACATGTTGCTGGCTGTGACTGCGAGTCCGACTGAGAATAAGACTGGGACCTGGACTTGTACCTTTTCAGGCTCCTCGAATACTCTCCTGACAGGCTCTCCTTTTTTTTTGGTTCTGTAGCTCTGCAGGCGCATTTCTTTGTCCTCCCAAATGGAAACTATTAACTTGGGTCTTTTAAAAGCCCTACCCTTAAATATTATTACAGACTTCAGACCCATTGGCAAAATAAACCTCGATTTCTTTAGGCATAAGGTTAAGGAAACTAGATTTCTTTAGAATTTCATTTGGGTTACAAGTCACAATATTTACTTGTATGTCATTTCAAACCAAAAATAAACTCATAACCTATTTTTAATAGCTTAATTCAAGCAAACATTTTAGAACTTAAATCTGAAATTTAAACAAATTAATGTATGCAGCAACATTTATATGCTGAATATTTCCATTTAACAAAATCAACGTTTCTTAAAGTTAATAGTAGATGTTTAAGAAGGGTATACAAGTATTTACTTACCAATTCAAGTAGCTTTTCCTTCCCTCTTGACTTCCCTGTTGCTTTTTGCTGCTTGTTGATTTCCTGCGTCCGATAGTAAGTTTTATTTATTTGCTTGCGACTTCTGTCCCATTTGCCCATCCCGAACTCCTGGAAAATCCCTGTCTAATCCTTTGTAATGGCCATGCAAATCTAGGAGATGGGACTGGTGGAATTCCTGCTCTGATCTCGACCTGTCAATGGGCTCATCATCAAATCATAATTTGAATGCAGAATTCTTTTGAATACCGGGAATGCCACCCCCTCTCCTGAGGGAAAATGTCAATAAATTTCGCTATTTTATTTCGGTAGCCGACGCCGTCATCGTTGTTGTCGCTGTCGCTCTGTCGACCCCGGCGTCGTTCATTAATCTCTAAATTATGCGAATTTTTAATGAGACTCGCATTTTGTTCGATTTTTCATGCGTTCGTACGCCTTCTGCTCTGAAGATGATATGCACTTAAAAAATTAATGTGAAATGATTTCTAAGGCACTTTAAATGTAGGGAAAATAGTAGGCTTTTAAAAAAAGACAAATACGTACTTCAAATGTAACAATTTTGAAACATGACATTTTTTAATGTTAGTAAATACCTCCCAACGATTTGAAGCACATATTGGACCATAAAAAATATTACGAAAAAATTGTATATATAATAAATAAGTATCAATATTTGATAAATTTTTTTTCAATGGAAGCAAATTGGCAATAGCAAGTTTATTACATTTAAAGCCTGTCAAAATTCATTACTAAGCTTTAATCAAATTAAATTTTGTCGGTGTAGGGGCTCGCGGGTGAAAAAGATCTCTCTCGGATCTCGGGAGTTCCGCAACTTGTTTGGCCTTCTGTTTTAGTTTTAATTGAAATACGCTTTCGATATAAAAGCCGGGTTTAGAATGGCCCGGCTTGGCAGCCAGCTCGGTTTGGACTTCTTTAGCCAGTCGGCTGATAAGGCGGCGTTCCACTTACATGAACCACATG